AATATTTTTTTTTTTATTTGAAAATCAGAGCCATACTGCATTTGTTGCTGATACTTTACTGCCGTCAGTTAAGGCTGCTTTAAAATATAATTCAGTAATGAAATTCTTCCGAAATGAAGTAATGTGCGCAGATGATCTTATGGAAACAGATAAAACTTGTGTTTCGTCCAATCAGTTGTGAGAAATTAAATCTTTTTTGACAGCAGTAAATTTTTGATAACCGAAAATTTATGCGGAATAAAATATTAAAAATTGAAGTGACATTAATATTTTAAGAAAACTTTCACCATCGTTGATTGCAATACATCAATTTAAGCTTTATTTAACGAAATAAAAGCGATTTTATCGATTCACACACTCTCTTATTAACAAATTATAAACTTTTTATGGAAAAATGTTTTTGTGTTTTGTTTCACTGCAAAAAATGCGTTTAAAAATTCGATTAATCGATTATTTCTCAATAATTGCAATTAATATTTTTGGCTTGTGATTAAGCATATGATTAATTAATCGATTTTTTTTTGCGATCCCTAGTTGTTCATACAACTTTGTTAACAACGTTACCGTTTCGCCAAAAATTACACTGTGTGACGCTTTATGAGTCGCACTAATGAATCTTTTCCTTTTACCTTGCCATTTTATGGAAATTGTGGATTAAAAATCTCAGATTATTAGCCGTCAAATTTGTTGTGATTGTTATTCTCAAAACTGCAAGAAAAGTTAGGTTTCTTTCTGCTATGTTAAGCAATTTAACTTAACTAAAAGATTTTATTGAAAATACCTTTACAAACCTCTTCTTTTGCTAGCTTCCATTTTGGTTTGCTTTCACATTTGACATTTCTCCTCTTCTTTGCAAAAATGATCGATAAAATTAGGTTGGAAACCGAAAATTTATCGGTTTAATCTGAGATTATTTTATAATTACAGATTAGGAAGTTAAGCTCGAAACTGAGGATAATCTACTTATACATATGTATGTAGACCTAGTATAAGTTTTTGCGCTAAAAAATCTGCATTAGTATTTGAGTACGTCGAGTGACTAAACATCTTAGCAGCAATCAGTAGAGTATTTCTCCTTTGTGTTCCATAGAAAGATATGTTGAAGCTTTTAAGGTGAAGAATTCACCCAAAATTGTCTCGTTGGATCAAAGAATTACTTCGACCAAATCTAGAAGGGTTTGAATTTATTTAATTTTTTTTGCCTAAAGCCAGTCTGCTATGTACTTTATAAAAAGTTCTAAATACATATTTTTGCCGTTCTTGTGTTAAGGCATTCATTGCCATGATTACAAAAATCTAAGAAAGCATTTATATAATTTCTTTTGAAGTAGGACTGGCAAACTGTCGATAGTCCGAGCCACCAAACGTTTGCGGTTTTCAACAGTTTATTCCGCTTATGAGGGCTGAAGCTCTGCTCTAATAACTAGAGCTATATGAAATATGCTCTAGAAATTAATTGGTCAACGAATTTGAATAAGATTATCATAACTTCATTAAAAAGCTTCTTTAAGAATACATTTGGGAACGCATTTTCAAAACTACTTTTTTCATTTACCCATACACCATATAAGCATGACTCGTCCAAGCAGGGAATTTTAGCTTTTTTTCGGTTCATGTTAAAAACTTTGGTCTTCTTCCATTTTTCTCCCCTATGTCCTCACTCGTGGAGATTTTTATGCAAATGAAGCGGCCAGAAAATCAAACATTTTGACTTTCATTCAAATTTCCCTTAAGCGGCTGGTCAAACCTTCAAGCAAACCCATACACCATACAACAGATTTGAGCCATCGATAGCCGTGTCGATAGTTTGCCGGCCCTATTTCAAAGTTTAACGCATGCCAGGGCCGGATCTAGAAAAAAATTTCCGGTCGGCTGTTCAGGAAAATTATTACTTTTACTATATTAAGTATATTTATTTTATACACTATTTTTAAATTGAAAATGGAATCCTCCTTGGTTTTTTGCCAGCTCATCTAGCCGTTGTCGCATGCTGTAAAAAAGAAAGTAATTCGAAAATTTTATTGTTGAAGGTCGGTTTTGAGGTTAAGGTAATTTTTCGTTTAATCGGATATTTAAAATGTCCTTCAAATTTAAAATTTTTGATTTTTCTCATCATTTTTTTACCTAAAAATAGCTGAGTTAAAAAAAAGGTATTAAACCACAACCGATAAGCCCATGCCAATGCCATACAAACACCACAACCAGTAGAAATCTTCCAAATGCAAGTGATCACGCTTTTTGGCCGCTACCATGTTGTCATATGCCTGACGGGTCCATAGATCAACTATAAATGGAGTGCTTCTGTATTCGAATCGACACAAGAATTGAATTCGAAAAGTAAATTTGTTTGCTTATATAGTAAAGTGGGTGTGGTAAATACGATTGATATCTGGCAAGCATGGACCAAAGTGGACTCAGTACTGTACACGCATAGTGACCATCCATGGATGTACGTTGGCGCTGTAATTTGCCATGCGAAGGTTCCACTGTGAAAGACTTTAGCATCTTTGGTGCCACGTTCGAGTCACGTAACAAAAGCGGCATTATTGCCGTACTGATGAAAATTTGCAACACTGTTGCAACTGCCCAACTGATAATACGTTATTGGAAATTCCCACAATCCGTGATACTTTAATAATTCTCGCAACACTGCGGCTGTGATTGCAACTCGAACAAGCCCATACTAACACTCTCCAAGTCACACACTTTCATTGGTGTTCTGGATTGCAAAAAATCATCGAAGCTTCGAAGTTGCATTGAACAGGGCTTGAACCCAGGTCCTGCGGAGTGGAAACGCACACTGCTTACCACCACACCACAGCGGCCGCCAAAAAGTTATTAGCCTCATATTTCGGGTAAACTTGTATGCCACTTACCCATGGTATTAAGGGTATGCACATTCTTAGAGTAGCTTGTTGTTTCTTACTATAGTTCAATAAACATATGTACATACCAGGGATGTTGCGAATATTTGCATTCGCATTCGTTATGCGAATGATTCACATCATTTTATACATTCGCATTCGCACCTAACGATACGAATGTTTTGCGAATGCGATTGTGTACATGGGCGAGAGTCCACTCTAATATTGTTGAAATGGCTCTAAGTCTGTCTAACCAGGGACAATATCCGGCGTTTAGCTTCAGGCGCTAAACGGTTAAATAGTATATCAAGCAAATTGATGGGCCCTCAAAGACTTATAAGCAACCTAGAAATAATTTTAGATTCTTCCAGCGAAAGCGAAAGCTCGGATGTAGAATCTGGAGGCATTAAAAAAATATGAAATTAAAGCTCAATTCAAGGATTGGTGGAAAACTGAACTAAAATATCAGATCTGGCCCGCAAATATTTCAGCGCTCCACCCGCCAGCGTTCCAAGTGAGCAATCGTTCAGTGCAGCCGGCCTTATATATATACGAGCCTCTAAGAAATCGTCCCATGTGAGAAAAGGCAGCAAAATTACTTTTTTGAAATATAATAGATATACCCTTTTGAACTTTGACTACTAGACTAAAATACTGTATAGGTTAAGCACTCGTTCAATGTTTTAATAATTTATAAACTTTTTAAGTAATAAAAACGATGACTTAAGTTGATTATAGCTTTTTTAATGTTATTCCTAACATTCGAATTCGTATTAGCATTCGCACATTCGCATTCCGAAAATTCGTAAAAAAATATGACATTCGAAACATCCCGAGTATATACATACATACATATGCGTAACCTTAGAACAACTTCACTACAAGGTTTTCTCAGGGTTGTATTTAAGTACGATCCAATGAATTTTAATCTTAGTCAAGCGAAAGTTGGACAGCATCTTTCAGAACACTACGGGTCTGATGATCATAGATATTATGGTGACGAAAAATTGGTGCCGTTTAACGATTCTGCAGGAGCTGAAGAGGCGACGAGGAGCCTGAATCAGTAAAGCACCTACTTTTTTAATATACCGCACTGGCAAAGAGCAGACTAGGGTTCAGACTAGGGCGCTAAAACCATTGGGAACCTGAACGAAATATCAGTCAGAAAGATCAGGCGATTGCTCAAATTTTCAAACTCCATATTCTGGTATTTAACGAGATATCTTGTGGTACCAAACGGGCTTTATAGTGGTCCTAAGTATGCTGTTGTGTCCATCGGCACCCACTTCAACTTCACATAACCTTAGGATCTGATGTGATTTATCCGCTTGAGCTCCGATCGCACTGTAGTGACCTCGCAAAACCTAATAAAAAACGAGCTGCGATAGTGCAAGCATAAGGTGCTCTTTTGATCGGCTCCGATCCAATCTGGGCCTTAAGGACCTTGCAATTGCGCATGCTCTAGGTGCTCTTTTAGGTCTGCCACTCCATGAGAAATTATGATCGCACCATGACTGATTTTTATGGTCCGTAGAAGCTTAGCTATCCTATTGAAACCATCACTCTGGATCCGTACGATATTTCGAAAAAAATATTGAAACCTAAAATGATGAAAAATAAAAAGTCTGACCACAGACATATTTGAAAGAAATAATAATTTTCGAAAAGACAACAAAAGTCGAAAAACTCAAAATTGGCATATATTAAGTAAAACAATGGGACTTGAAATTAAATGATTTGTTTTATTAATTTTGTTGCTAGAATCTATGCAAGAAGGAATAACAGCCAAACTAAATTTTAAAAATTTTATTTTAATTTTTTAGAAGCTTTTACGTTGGTGGCATGCAGTTTTTGCCTGAGAAGACCCCTAGTAAAATTTTCCGAAGAATAATTTTCTAGAATATATCAATCCTCTAACGAACTTCTAGATTCGATTTTTGCCCAAGTTTTCACAGCTTTCTGTGCAATCCCTTTAATCGACACTTTTAAATAGTGGCTTGTCATCAATACCGCCAAATACGAAAGCTAAAATATATATTATAGTATCAACTAACTCTTTACCTATCAATTAAACTCAACATTTTCAGAAAGCTCCATGTGAATTTATTGTGCAATAAAACTGACATTGATTAACAATTGTGGAGATACTGTGTGTTTAAAGTTTAAAGTCAGCGTACATATGTATGTATGTAAGCATGTGCGTATTTCCAATTTTAAGCGAATCATCAACGCACATCTTCAAGAACATGCCGGTCTGCTGTAACCGCATTTTTAATTTTTCTATTGTAATACCAAAGCTCAGTGCAAAATACCAAAACGCCCAAGCTCATGCCAATGCCATACAAATACCACAACCAGTAGAAATCTTCCAACTCCAAGTGTTCACGTTTTACTTGCGTCACTCTTGTGGTGTTCAACTTTTTTGCTGCTACCATATCATCATATCCCTGACGGGTCCATAGATCGACTAGGCCCGCGCTATGTAACTGACCGAGAAAGTTGTTGAGCGCCTCCCTATAAATAGAGTGTTCCTGTATTGGTATTGACATAGGAATTGACTTCGAAAATGAAATTTCTTCGCTTATATAGTAAAGGGGGCGTGGTAAATTCGACTGATATCTTGCTAAGATGGGCCAAAGTGAGCTCAGTAAACTGTAAGCATAGATCCCATCCATAGATAAACGTTGGAGTTGTAATTTAATATGCGAAGGCTCAACCACGAAATGCTGTTTTAAGCGTTCGGCATTTTCAACACCGATGTATGTGTGAAGGATTTCCTTTTGAAACGCGCTCGATTTCATTGGTATTTTGGATTGTATCAAATCATTCAAGGTTTCTAAGCGAGCGTATTTCGGTGGCTTGCTAGTATAGTACGACTGCAGTCCAGCGGAAATATATGTGCTCATAAAGATTCCACTGAAGAAGAGAGTAAAATACAAGCAGCGTTTTAGATATCTGGCAGTAGCGCGGACTCTTACACACGATGGCTGTCCAATTACGCAACGAAGCACTACATTGATAAACACCCAAAGGAAGATTTGAACAGTGGCTGTTGGAGAACAACGACGACGCCAAAGTACAGTTTCAAATGTTAGTACGACGGAGAAGACGAAGAGTAGTAATATCATAAAAAGACCCAACACCGAATTTAGAATAAATAAAAGCACTTCACTGTCGGGGACCAGCGGAGGCATTGGCACCATAACCAGCCAATCGACCGGCAGCAATGGTGTCGATACATCAATACCATTTCTCTCTAAAGCCCAAGATAATATTCCAGTTATTATGTCGACTGTGTTATTTTGTAATAGGGTCGTCCACAGTGGTAAACCTTGATACACATCTGTTTGCACGGCTATCGGAAAGGTGAGTGTACCATTTATTCTCGCAGTGAATTCACGCACAATTTTTATCAAAAATCCGCCAATTTGAACATTTCCCTGTCGATCGCGCCACACCAATGTCCATGGATCAATTTGTTCCATTGCAGTTCGAATGACAGCACCTTTTATGTCCTTTATTCGTTCCGGAAAGCAATCCTCCGCCAATGTTTTACGTTGGATGTTGAATTGTGGAAAATAACTAAAAGTATAGAAATGTCCATCCACTGCGTAGTCTCTATAGAGACTGACTACGTTCAGTAAATGCATTCGGGCACAATATTCGAAAAGTAATTGCTGCTGGCGTTTTAGTTCCTGGCGCCGTTGTAGCGAAGCAGCGGTGGTGTATTCGATGTTCCAAATGAAAAGTATGCGGACATGGCGATTATTTCCCAAGCAAGCGATCATCATCTCCAATAAATCGGCCTTGAAGATCGGAGGCAAACAGCGGATTACAAGCATATCATCATTTGTTAGGTTAGACAAATTGCCGCAGGCACTGTTCGCTTGCTGTAAATTAACGGTTTTATTAGAGCTGAGCCGACGAATATCATCATCGGAAAGACAACTCTGCTTTGTGGAGTGGGCATTTACGATTCGAAGTGTATTAATATTTCGTTCCAAGTCAATTTTATTGATAATTTTGCTGATATTCAAGATATTTTCAGATTTCAAGTTGAATTGAGGATAAGCAATCGATAGTGAAATGGCTAAGAGTAGCAGTGAAATGGCTTTAGTCCACATATTACTCATTGCTGGAACCACACTTCACGGAAATACTACTGTGACTGTTTAGAAACAATTCAAAATGCATCCCTTTTATAACTTTGCTTTTCAAATTTATTAAGAACGGAAAATTTTATGCTGACTACACACGAGACAGCCGTTGAAGCAACGTATTGAGGCAACATGTTTTCTTGTTCAATACACACGAGGCAACTGTAGAAGCAACTATTGCGGTAACCTCGGTAATTAAATGAACAAACGTAAGACATTTTTTCTACCAGAACACCTTTTCATTTCACGTGTTTTCAATGAACTATGCCAATAATCTCAATGCATAACGCTACACACGACAGTCTTCGAATCGGTACAAGGACCGACTATTATTTATTTCTTAGGAATGCGGCCCCTCCCCGTTAGAATTTACATGAATGTCCAATTTTTGCATTTTACACCTGTAAGCGCTGCCGTCATAAACGTTCAACGTTTTTTTTTTTAATAGTAGTGGGAATTGTGACGTTCAATCGTGTCACCTTAAAAATTATTGGGGCATATTCACAGTCAAAATAAAGTCGGCTCAAAAGTTAGTGACCTTACTGGACCGAATTTTTGTTTACCTATCAATTCTGGGTAAAATGCCCTGGTTGCATCTACGTTTGCCTCGTTTGTTGTCAGCATTATAAATTGTTGCGTGTAAGAAACGTACCTAAGCCTCGTACGCTTGTTGCCCAAAGTAACTTTGCTAAAGATTTTATCATCTTCAAAATTAGTACTTACTTAGGCAATAAATAAGGTGTTTTCAATCAGTTTAGAATTTTATTAGCGTAAAAGCATCAATTGGCGGGTTTAATGGCACGTGCTGATTAATGAAGCTTATGAAGGGCTGTTTGAGAATTTCATTAAGTGGTTATCCATTTCAAGTGAACTTTTACTTTGAAGAGTGCCATACTTTTACCGTTACAAATACAGAAGTTTGTAAATTTATTCCCTTACGATAACCTTTTAACCCAGTTTGTTGGATAAAATTGTATGCCACTTGCCCATTTTACGAGTATTATGGGTATGCACATAAATACCATTTTACAAAAGGTATTTATTATGTAGTAAACACATTTTTGGCGGCCGCTGAGTTGTAGTCGTTAGCAGTGCGCGCTGTCAATCCGCAGGCCTGGGTTCGAGCCCAGTTTTCGACCAACATCAAAACCTAAAACATAAGTTTTTTTCTAATAGCGATCGCCAATCTTCGTTCGCAGTCAGCGTAAAACTGCAAATCCCTTCCCCTTGTGTGGCAACATTAAGGCGCATGCCACAAATTGGAGGAGAAACTTGGCCAAAAACTAATATATTGTCTAAGCCCAAATCTATTATTACTATGTCATTATTATGTCATTATTAAACGCATTGATTATAGCCAAGGCACATTGAGTAGGTAGTAACAGTAGAGCTCTTTTAAATTGTATTTTTTATTTTCATTTTGGATGTACATTAAAGTGGTTTGTAGGAGGGGAGGGGGGCGGCTTGATATTACCTTTACTATTTCTAATATAATATTGTAAACTGCCCTTGCTTGAGCTCATCTCCTCTTTTGCCAGAGTGCTAGGCCACTTGCTCAATTTGGCGAATACCACTAGTAATTTAAATATTACCCAGCCAACCAGGGGACTCCGCAGGGTGCGCGATTAGCTTTTCCTTTGCGATGCGCTTACGCTCCTAGGGAAGTCCGAAAAGAGTCCCAAACGAGGACATCCGCCGGAGAAAGGTGCCTTTTCAATATATATGAAAACAGTGTGCCTTAAATCATCCGAAGAAAACTTAGATGGAGTGTTTTGGGAGTTCTCCGATAATAGACCGAAAAGGAGGATTCACGGTTTTTCAAAATGCTCCTAATTAAATTTATATACAGCCTTATCATGAGCTTCATTTCCCCCGAATCGGCTCACTTTTCACACTTTGTTTCCATGGTTTTACTATGGGCGGATGACAAATATTCGGGTGAATCTTTTTCACGTGAAACTCAGGATAAGGCAGATAGTGATTCAAACTTTTTCATAATTTCTTTTTATCGAAAAAAAAATTGAAATTAAAGAAAATTTTTTAATATGATATTCAGTAAACAAGGAAAAATTATGAAATAAATAAAAGTAATACATACATATATTTTTTAAGACGTTCCTGTGAGGTGGGGAACGACTCGCTCTATTGATTTCTTTCCCAGAACCAGATAATTTTCTAATAAATGCGCCTGAAAAGTTTTAAGGTTAGCCAAAAGTAAGTTTTTTATGCGTTATACCTCCAAATGCGTTCGCATGTGCCATAACATAACCTCAACAGCTTTTTTTGCAGTGTCCCTTTAGATACAAATAAAAGAAAAAACAAGCAAACAAAAAACACTTTTACTCCCTTTCCACTCCATACGCGGAGCGCTCCGGGAGAACTCGTTCGAGGTGTTACTGTGGGAGTCCTTTTTCACTCCATATTCGGAGCGCTCCGTATTTGGTTAGCTGGGTAGCAACGCATTTAAAACTGAAATGAAAAAGATTACCTTTGACACATTTCAACACATGATAATTGAAATTTCGAATTACGATTGGTTGAAGACGGAAATTTAAAAGCAGCATCAGGTGCCCACGCATTTTCAAGGGGAGTTCACAATTCTCGTTATGGCTTAGTTTACCGCGAGAAAAATTTTACATATCATTAAGTGGAACCTGCAAGAACGTGAATATGTAAATTGGGTCGCAGGGAATTTTTTGAATTTAGAGAAGGGAACATTTATGGGACTTACCAAAACTACGCCTAATCGTTAGTATTCATACATGGTAGTAAAATTCCAATAGGATTTTTCTTCATTTCATCATTATACAGTGAGAACTGTGGGACTCGGTGACTTACTTTAAAATGAGGTGCACTAAGGTCCTCAGCGTCGGAGCGTCTTAAGTTTTGAACCCCCAAAACCCCTACCTACGTTCGCCCCTGATACATACTATATATTTCGATGTACATACATATATGGCGCGTAACAACCCAAATTAGACACCATTTGTGGGAAGTGCCAAACCACGCTGCGACTTATCACTTTACGCTTGGATCCCCGTACATGGCGCATGAGTAAAATTATTTGCCGCCAATCGATAACGAGAAAGTGACGAGAAAGTGATAAATCACAGCGTAGCACTTCCCACTGCTATTATGTATGAGAATTTCATCCTATACAATATAAAGTATTTTTATCTTTTTGATTAATGCAGTCGGAACAGTTGGCATTGAGTTGGAAAAATAAAACCGACTTCAATTTTCATATAAAAATTTAAGAATACCAACAATTTCTTTGTGGTTCAATGATCGAATCCAAACCAAATGTGGGACCACCTCTGAGGTACGACCTTCCTCTAAAAAAAGAATTATAAAAATCAGTTAACATGGTCCATAGAAACATAAAAAAAATATGCCGACGAATTGATAACCTCCTTCTTTTTATGAAGTCGGTTAAAAATTCGAAAGAAAAAGATCCCAATGTTATCGGACTAGGCTTAAAAGTTGCTTAATGATTGATAGTTAAAAAAAATCCAAAAAATCGATCATGCGTATGTTGGAAATCAAAATTTTTCAATAAAATTTGAAAATTTTATAGAATTTTTATGGAAATACGGGTTTGAAATTTCTTATATTCCAAAAGTGTTTTTAAAATAAAAAAATACAAACAATCGGTCATGCGTGTTTTTGGATATTAACACTATAGATTAAAAATTTGAAAATTTTATAGAAAGAACGGTTTACATTTTTTCCATTTTATACTCCAAAAGTGTTTTGAAAATGAAAAATTTCAAACAAAAAATGCTCCTAACCAGCCCAGTTTTCGCAAAGTTATGCGCATTTAAAAAGGGAACGTTTTTTTCGAAAACGATATCTCGAAAACGCCTGCCTAAGAAAATTAAAAGTATCAGGTAGGCCTCTCTCAATTGGTACTATAACATAAAAAAGTATGAATAGTAAGCTGAGCTAGAATTCCCCGTGTATGTATAATAATGAAAATTAAACTTCTTAAGCTTTTTGGGTTCAGACACTTCAATAAGTGCAGTTTATTGTTTTCGAAAGAAAATCGTAGCAGATCGTGGGCGAAGCGTAGTATCCTTGTAAATTTCTAATTTCTAACCGAAGTGGAGTTGGAGCGGAGCTTTGTTTGGCATATAGGTATAGCAGAAGCCGGTTTCTGGTACGGAATTGGACTGGATGCCAGACGAGTGTGGAGCAAACCTGATGCTAGCGGTTGCTCCAAGGACGTACAACGTTGAAAAGGTTATGGTCGGGGAAACCCTGACTCATTACAGTGTGTAGAGCTGGCTCTCACATACGGGGCATACGGCGGGTACGTCGGGGTCGAGTCTGGAAAGTTGGGGTTTTAACCTGCCACAATTAGTTGTGCCACAGTAGATAACAGTATTAAATAATACATATGGGGGCGTGGGAGGTCTGCTTGCTAAACTTCATAGAACTATTACCGTGTGCTGCACGGGAGCTTTTTCTGCAACATCTGGCGCTGCTCTTGATGCACTGCTGTACTTACCGTCACTTTGTGTCTTCCTACATGGGGAAGCCTTAAAGGCCGCCTGCAGACGAAAAAGGAATGGATATTGGTATAATACTAGTGATGTGCTGAATTGTCGGAACCAAATACTCGGTACCCAATACTTCAAAAAGATTTCGGTACCCAATACTTCCTTTTCGGTGCCCGATACCGATTCTTTACATTAAACCTTCGCCATTATACATATTTCAAGTTTAGAAAAAAATTATTTCATTGCTATCTTATATGATATCGGCAAAAAACTTGAACTCGGGAAACAGTAAACTATTTGGGGT